CTTTCATTAGTCATCCCATGGTCTTGTCGGTCAACTCCAAGTCTCATCCATCTCTTCTTCTACCATCAGGTCATGCTACCACATTCCCACAGCATCGACCAAAATAAGCTTCATTTAGACCAAAATCCACTAAAAATAGGTTCATCATTCATTTCAGCATAAAAATAAAGAAAAGAGATAAAATGACTCAAAGTTGGGATATAAATGGAAAATAACCTATCTAAAAGATAATAAAAAGGTATTTTACGTACAAGATACTTAGTACGTATCAACATCCTTGGCAGAGATAGGTTGTGTCTTCCTCATCTGATGATGATTCTTCAGATGAATCAACCCAGTCATGTTCTTCAGTGATAAGACCTTTTCTTTACGCTGGAGATTCTTCATCTTCTTGTACTTCTCCTTATCCTTCCGTTTCAGGTATTTGTAATTTTTAGGTCTGAAGCAGGATGAGATGTGTGAAGATGGCTTCGCAACTTTCTTTGACCTGAACTCACTTGCAAAGTGTCTTTACCTTGGCAGTTAAAGCATTTAGCTGAGATCTAGTCAATAGGATTTGACTTTGACTTGTCAGCGATAGTCAGAGAAGGAGATCTGTGGAAATTACTTTTTTTTTTGGAAAACCTTCTGAAAGAGTTTATAAGGAGAGCCAGTGACTCATCAAACGCAGATAAATCAACATATGTTAAAGTCCTCAGAGTTATAAGGATCTAACTCAGTGATAGAAAGGGAAGAAAAAGGAGTAGAAGAAATAGAAGGATCAACTGAAGGGATTTTAGAGATCAAAGCTAAAGGTTAACTTTTCATTTCTCTATAGTCTTTAAGAAAATTCTTCTTCAGCTGACAAGATTGCTCATCATTAAGCAATATCCCATAAAAAGAGCTAAGGAAAAGAGAGGATATGTCTTTGGACATCTTGAGACACATGGTATAATTATCCCATGATTCTGGAAAATATTTTAGGAACTTTGTTAGGGTCTCAGATTCTCTTCCAACTGTCCTTAAATCAATAAGAAGACAATTAAAACATTGATGTACTTCAGAAAACGATTAAGATTTTCCGTAGAGAAAAATTTCATATTGTCTTACTAAATTTATCTTCCTCGATTCTTGTACTTCAGAAGTACCTTCATATTGAACACAAAGAATGTCACACATGGTTTTCTAGAATTTTAACTTCATAACAGAGTGATAAACCTTGTTAGGAAGAGATCGTTGATGTGTTCGAAGTCCCCTTCTTTGAGCATTTTGTCGTCAGAGAATGTGAAGAAGTTTATTTTTTCCTTGATTTGCAGAGGTTGAGGCCCTTCTTCATCGAAAGCTATGCCAATGATCGGGCATGGGACCTCAGCAGCAGTAGACGGTTCAACACTTCGATCTTCAGCAGCATCCGACTTTTCAACCATTGGCTCTGGTTCCACCTTGGTGGATTATTGATGATGACCTTAACTCTGGTGTGGTTGTGGCGTTCAGCACTGGGAGTCGGTCTTTGGATTTGACAGGAGATATCAGGTCTGGTGGTTCTTTGTCTTTTCACCCCCACATGATGATTGGGGTCGTCATCCCCATCATCATGTCTTTGTTTTGAACCCCCTCCCCGAATCTTGTACGTGTCCTCAAGAATTTGAATCCTAAAGAACATAGCTTGGAACGATGTTCTGATGGTATCTGCCACGGTATTAAGCTGAGTAGTGAGACCTCGAAAACTGCTTCGGACCTTGTCCTGAAAGGCGTGGAACTCTGGTCTCGTGACATACTCAGGCTGGGTTTGCGTCCTAAGCATGTCCATGATGCCAGGTTTCACCTGTCCTCCCTCATCTGCCTCAAACAACAACTTAGCGTATAATAGGGATTTCAATTCTTCAGTTGAGCACTCACCTGGTTATCTAGGTTCATGAGTATGCGGTCTTTGTGGCGGTGGAATCGAACTCACGTGCTCCATGATCGATTTGCCCTTTAGTAGTCATCGTAGTTCATCCACCTAGTTATGCCTTGAGGCTTGAACGGCAGCAAGAGCACCAACCAGCATCTGCATAGTTGTTTCGGGTACTAGGGCACTTAGCCTTCCTGTTGACACAATGGTTGAATCAACTGTGTGTGACCTACATTCAATGTTGGCAATGATGTGGCACTGGTAGGATTTCCATCATGTCCTCATCATGAAATATCTGTAGAAGACACCCTCGGGATGTTCTGACGTGTTCTGGTGAGCAACAAACGCTTCACGTGTTTGTGTCCTAATATCTGTATCAAGCTCTATACTCGGTGTGCACAAGAAAGAATTCATAGAATGTGGCAGTGGTCTACTAATTTCAATATCCACATTCTTCGAGTGAGAGATGGATAGAAGATGTGGTAAATACCTATGATCTGATGAAACTACCTGCGATTGCGTAGCTGGGTCCAGTATGACTTGCTCAATACCGGATCCCAACGGATGAGACCCGATAGTAGATGTGGTAACCTGGCTTATGGTGGTTTGAGAAAGGTCCTGACACTTTTTCGACTGTATCTCATGCTCCGTCCTGTCACTCACCCTCTCTTCATTTTCAACTACACCCTCATCCATCCTTATATAAGCAACTATAGTTGTAACAGTTTAATCAAGATCCATGACATTAGTATCATGGATCGATTCTTCTTTTGTGTTAGACTCCGTGATCTCAGGAAGCGCTTCGATGTAGCTAGGTAGGCGTTCGGCGTCATCGGGCGTGTCGTCATCGTTAGATGAGTCATAATCTTCTAAACATGATAGAGTCAACAATAATTGGCTCTCCATCATTCGATGAATCATCTTCATCGTTAGAAGCAGAACTAGAGGCACCCCCATCTACAAACCCCCAGTGTCTTTTTCGATCTCATT